TACTACAACATATGCAATCTTGGCATCAAAATAATATTCTGTCAAAGAAATTTCTCTAAAGACTGATTATGTTTCTTATTAATAACACTTTGTCCCCTCGATCTCACTGGTGATGGACTTAATTGAGTCCTCACCTTAGACGCCGTTTTTATTCTTATATTCTTCTTTTTATATAATAAGTTTTATACATAACTCACAATAATACTAGTTAAATATATATTATATATGATTTGTAAAGTTATGCGTAAGTCTTGATCTCTTGCAAGACATTCTAAACAAAGTAAGAAATTCTCTTGTTAGATAAATATTGTAAGTTAAATGGATCAATGTTAGAAATGTGCATGTATTCACTTTTTTAATAGTATTTCAAACATTTTGTATATGTCTTTGTTTTCCTTGAAAATCGGAAAATAACCGCTGATCTTCTAAATTTAACTTTGGTGTGACTCACAGGATCGATCAGATTGATCCTAGGACATGTGATAAAAGGTTTCGTTTTTTAGAATCTGCCTAAGTTACACACTTCGACAATATTGGGTGAAAAGTCTTAATGGTAGAATTGCTTATTAGACTGAAGAGAGGAAGAAGATAGAAATTTGGATAGAAAGAAATAGAAATCTTTAGAGGAAGAAAATGGTCAAAGTAAGAATGCATAAAAACTGGAAAGTATGGTGAGAAGGTAAAGAAAACTTTAATAAAAGTAAAAGGACAAAGTAAACTTCATTGAAAAGTAAAACATGATGTGTTTACATCACGTACATTCTCCTTGATACTCTCTTTCTCTACACTCGGATACTTGGAGTAATTTTAGGAGTGACTTGTACAAAAGTAAATTACAACACACTTAATTCAACCTCTAAAACTCCTATTTATAATAGCAGAAATAACTAACAATAACTTCCCAAAACCATCATCTTCCGACACATGTTGTGATGCATGGAGTTCTTCGCCCACCGGGTGCCATGTGTCCTCTTAGTCATTAACGAATGAAACTACTCCCTCCAATTTATTTGAATTTCAAATCTCTAAGATAATCATCAAGCAACGTCTCGGTCGAAGCATGACCCTTCGAAGTTTCATGATTTTCCCAAAGTCGTCCAAATGTTTCGACTCTTCTTCTTCGTAGACCTTGAACTCTTTGACCAGCTTTTATCTCCAGCGAGATTTTGATGCTTTCTCTTAAATATCTTAACTTGCAAGAGGTGTCGAATTTAGGAGCTAACAAATTGCCCCCCAAAAAATATCTTTTTCGACCCCTATGTAGAAAAAGCGCATTTTTTTGACAACATCTAATTTGATGCCGCTATTTCGACTTACACATGTCAATCAATGTGCTTTAGCCGACTAATGCTTGGGAAGATGAAAGGGGAAGAGAGAAAAGGGAAATAGAAGAAACCCGCAAGAAACTGCTCCGTCACCTTTGTGCACGTTCCTGACGTCATGAGTCATCATGGAAAATTTCTTGGAACTCACAAAAATCATAAATCATCATCATTCTTTTAGAGCCTAGGGGATGGAGGTTACAACTACCACCCCTATTTCTCCACCTCAGGACACACACGTGGCCCACTAACTCTAGCCACTTATGACGAAAACTCTTGATTTCCAATAATTTATATAAATAACTTCCTTAGGCATTATTTGTAACCTCTTCAATTTCTAGTAAAAACTCTTGCATTTTTTCTTTCCAAATATCCTTTTCTTCCTAAGAACACTTCCTTCCCTAACTTCAACAATGGTTGAGCATCAGAATCAGAAGAAAAAGACACAACCCAAAGGGCAATCCTCTACATCGGTCCTCCCTCCTTTCACCACCTTGAGTGGCCCCAAAGTCGTGAAGAACCAATAATTCATTCGCGAACCCTTGTTGGAGGAAAAACGTCACATCTACGAATCCTAGGTAATCATCCTTGTCACTGTTGCAAGTAAACCCTTAGCAATGTCTGGCCCACTGTCTCCCTTAGGTCTTGATTATTCTAGTTTAAGCAACTTCTTCCCTTCTTACAGAACAACCAAACCCTTAGGGCAAAAGGATTCTAGAAAGATTCCTGCCGATGGTCCTGATAGTCTAGCTTCCTACAACATAGACCTTAAGTACCTCCATGATGGAGCTAGGTTGTTTAGAGTCACCCCTTATTTTAAGGACTCCGAACTTTACCTTAACTGGTTAGCAAAAGTGGAGAAGGTAAAAGCCCAGGACTAGAAAGAGACTGGCATCTATGACCTCATAATGATGTCGAAGGTCAGGCTCAGTTATTGTCCCCTCATGTTGGCTTCCTCTTTGTTTTTCTGGGACAACACCTATTACACTTTCCACCTTCCGTGTGGGATGATGACACCTACACTTTTTGATATAGCTGCCATCATAGGGCTGAAACCCCATGGATTAGTTTATGACCCTGAAATTAACTGTCAAGATACCATAGGATTTTCGAATACAAAGTATACCTACACCCACTTTGTCTACCACTATCACAATAAGGACACTACTATTGTCGAGGATGAAGAACATATAGCCTTCATGGTCATGTGGTTGTCTCGTTGTGTCATCTGTACTAAATCTTTGCAGGTGGCGCAAAAATACCTCATTTTGGCAAATCAACTACACCTAAAAAGAGGCATTTGCTTGAGCGAGATGATCCTGGCTAGTCTTTATGAGGCCTTGAGCGAAGGCGCTGGTAAGCTGAAGGACCCTGAAAGTCATGGAAACCTACTAATGTCAGGTCCCTTCTGGCTACTCCAGTTGTGTCTCAATGCCACTTTCGAAGGAAGCCTTCCCAACAAAGGAGAAGTCGATGAGGGTTCCCCTTCTGTTCATGAAAGACAAGTCGAATGGCCCCGCTTGGTTCAACTTACTCCAAGCGAAGAAGGACACACGCTTCGAGCCAACCTTTCAAATTTCATCCATATGTTCGCCAAACGTCATGAGTTCACCCCAAGAATGGCTCCATCTGCAGAAAGGAAATACGGCCCTGAGTGGTTCACCAGACCTTTCCCTCCTCCGCTAAAGAAACATGAATACGAATCGAAGCTGATATGGGAGAGATTTCTCACACCTCGACTGTTAGTTCACAAACTTAATCTCGTCAGGGGACAAGCCACTTTAGTAGCCTATCAGCCAAACTTGGTATCACGGCAATTTAGGCTAATACAAGCTTTACCCAAAGGTTTGTACGATAAGAATTCACACATTATACTCCCTCTCACCGTTGTCAACCCCATAGAATGCTCAACACAACTGGCACGACATGCCCACAAGTCTCTTCTTACACCCATTTATTTTGAACCTTCCTACTTCTGCTCCCTATAATTCTACAACTGGTGGTCCATACATTATGCCTCAGAGTTTCTTGATGTTTCGAGCTTTACTCGCTTGATTGAACAGGCTTTCGTTGATGTGTAGGAGAAAATCAAGAAAGGTACGTCTGCCCATATCAAAGAGATTCAAGCCTTCCAGAAGTACTTTGAAACCGCCTATCGACCAGATGATGTTAGTCGAACCATCTGCGAGGCTGTTGTCACTTTAAGGGAAAAGTTTTCTAAGAAAATGGAAAATTTAAAAATTCCCTCATTTGTTCCTCGTGAGAAACGGTATGAGGTTGCTTTTAAACTATTCCCTCCAAAAATTCCTCGATTACCAACTGCTGATTTTGGCGTGACTCTTGCCCCTCCATTTCCAAATTGGTTCATCTGTGGAGATTCTATAAAAATCCTTAAACAGCAGTCAAAACCCAAAGCGCAACCGGTGGTTCCGACTATACATACGCTCGATACTTTTAAAGAGCACCTTCATGTTAGTATCGAAGATGTTCGCATCGAATCTGACATTCTTGAAGGTCATCTCCCTTCGATTTAGACTTTTAAAACTGAGCTTTATTGTTACTGACTGGTAGCGGCATGATTTGTTTTGCAGCTGCTCCTAAAAGAAATGCTTATATCAAACATGACAAGATCGTCATCAACTCGAGAGTTGATGCTTATATCAAACATGACAAGATCGTCATCAACTCGAAAGTTGATGCTTAGATCAAATAGGACAAGATCGTTATCAACTCGAGAGTTGATGCTTAGATCAAGACAAACTCATTGGAGATATGAGAGGTCAATACCCACTTACAAGCTAGCATATTACTTTCAAATGACGGGGGCGACATATGAACTTCACCCCTTCTAAGGACTACAATGATCCCACCTTTGCTAGACCTTTTACAAATATAATACTATGCGTCCATAATAGAGTTTGAATTGAGGAAACTCCATGGTCAATCCTCTAAGGAGAGGAGGCCCAATTATAAAAAAAAAATACTTTTTAAGTGTAGCCATTAAAGCACTATAATTATTTTAATCAATAAAAAGTACTGATAATTATATATTTGCTTAATAATTTCATATTTTAAATTTGCCAAATATCAAAATTTACAAACAACTTTAACTATAATTAGTTTAAAACTCATTTCTTTAAATGGAAGAAAAAATTTATCCATTATTCGCTTTATGATTCTCACTTTAAAAAAAATTAAAATGGTCTTACAACTGAGAAGAAAAAACAGGGTCAAACCTAATTATTAATTTAACTTTTTGTAAATTTTGTATGGATTTTAAAATTCAATTCTGAAATAAACCATACGAATGTTTATTGGTGAAGAGAAAAAGTAGGAGTTTTTCTTAACAATGAACAAATAGTTTGATCTTTTGAATGGGAGACCGTAAATATTGCATTTCAAGAATAATTTTTGATCTCACTCACACGTGTAACATTTGCTTCCAATAAATTGTTTATTCCAAATATTTAGTCCTTTTAATTAGTGATAGCTTCTCTAAATTTATAATACATATAAATATTCAAAACCTTATTGTCACACATGACAATCTCCAAACAATCTTAACTCTTAGATATCAATACTCTTTCAAGAACTCTCTTCTTTCTAGATTTTGGAGGAGGAGAGAAATTTACTAATTTATTTTTCATTACAAAAATTTGGTATTCAAAGAAGCAAACAATGTCAAAGGGAATAAGAAACATAAGTTCTTGGATGGAGGTTGCTCCTTTACCTATTATTTTTCCATCAAAACCTTCAAATTATCCCACTTTGGCGACAATCAAAGAAGTTGCTGAGGAATACGATGATATACAATCAACCATAAATAATGAATCTATGAAGTAACAAATGTTGGAAGAGATTTTGTTGGTAATTATGTAGTTTTGTTTATACAATGACGTCCATGATTTAACATGGGTGATCAATATTTCTTTTTATCTTTATTATTAAAAATATTTACTTTTTTAATTTATTATATAATTAAGGTATGTGGTCTATATAATAGACTGAATACATTCGTTATTTAATATTTTTTAAAAATTTATTATAATAAAAATAAAAGAGAATAATAGTTAAGTTGGATTTGGCAACTCTACATATTGATAATATCTGATATGATGTGTGATTTTTTCTTTATTAATTTAGAAGGTATAAGTAATATATAATCTAGTCTATATATTTTTGCAATTATTTAATAAATAAATAATAGATATTCTTTAGTCATTTGATAAATTTAAAGATTCATTTAATATTTATTCTTGGTTATGATTAAAGTGAGAGCTTAATTAAATTCCTCACCAGTGATATTCTAAAATCATACCATGGAATCTAATATATGGTTTTTTTTTTGTTGACAAAATTGCTTCTCCCTAAGTATTATTCTTTCTATTAAATACTACAATCTTGATATCAAAACAATATTTTGTCAAAATAATTCCGCTAAAGGCTAATTATGTTTCTTATTAATAACACGTTGTTCCCTCGATCTCATAAAACACAGCAAAAATATTTTGTTAAATAATTAAAAAAAACATAAACTTTCATCTTTACAAATTCACATATATGAACTACACAAATAAGATGCATTTTCCATCCAAAGGTAAAGATGCAAACAACAATAGTATTTTGTTTAAGAAATTTATTTTAACTTTACATGTCCATTTTGTCGATAACAACAAAGTATAGGTATGGAGAGAGGAGGTATAATAGATATCATTTGAAAGAGATATGAAAGTAGCAAGCAATGAAAATTAAAAAAAAAAAAAAAAAACTCAAATGGTTTACCAAAACTTGACAGTGTCTATATATTCTATTTTCTTACCTATTAAATATAGATCATTAATTAAATCAAACGGTAAAATTTGAAAGTTTCACCGGTGAAGGAGCCCTCACCTTAGACGCCGTCTTTATTCTTATGTTCTTCTTTTTATGTAATAAATTTTATACATGACTCTCAATAATACTAGTTAAATATTATATATGACTTATAAGGTTATGTGTAAGGCTTAATCTCTTGCAAGACATTCTAAACAAAGTAAGAGATTTTCCTGTTAGATAAATATTGTAAGTTAAATAGATCAATGTTAGAAATGTGCATGTATTCACTTTTTTAATAGTATTTCAAACATTTTGTATGTCTTATAATTTGCGAGCAGAAATACTTAAAATAATTTAGTATATATTCGAGTTTGCACAAGAAAAATGAAAACTTAAAATAAGAAAGATGAAAATCTTGAATTTACATGAAGAGGAGAGTTATATATGTTATGTTTTCCTAAATCCAAAATGCCTTATTGAAAGGTTAAATGATGTTGTTTCACAAAGTTGTAACCCTTGATGAAACATACCCTTTAACCAAATGTTGTAAGACTTCACACACAAAATGTTGCAAAGTATTGTGACACTTCACTTTAAGCGTTGCAAAATTCGAATTTAAAAAATAACAATATGAAGCAACAACCACTACCACTATACAAGCCACCATTAGTGGTTCTACGCCCACCACCCTAGTCCAAGTCCTAGATGGCAACACCGATGAGGGAGAGTGTGAAGGTGACAAGTTGCATAACACTTAGGACCACCACACTTATCCATGTGACACTTTCTCTTCTTTAATTCTTTGATGAGTTAATAAATGCAACTCTATATAAGAAACATTAAAATGAGTTAAACTTTCAATGTGAGACTATCTCTCATACATTCAATGCTCAATTACTCATTTGTTAGTTTTCTTGTTATTATTGGGACACGCCATTGGTCATTAATATTTTCATTAATTACAACATCTCCTTCCACTAAAATATATCACTAGTCGAGAGATATCCTTGCAACTTATTCACCTCACACATATCATTTCACCATACTTTAGGGCAAGGGTGTGCAAACTAACCGATTTAATGACTAAACTCACGTTCATATCCAAAATGATATCCATTTAAATAGATTTGGATTATATGAAATTTAGGTGGATATCCAAATCGTGTCCATTGTCTGACAGTAACAAATTTTCCCGTTGCAAATTTGAATTTCATATTGAACAAAAAAGAAAATGAAGAGGTAAATAAGGGAAATTTCATATTTAACCAGTTTGGTATTTTGTGCTCTCTCTCTCTCTCTCTCTCTCTCTCTCTCTCTCTCTCTCTCTCTCTCTCTCTCTCTCTCTCTCTCTCTCTCTCTCTCTCTCTCTTAATCTTTCCATCACCAAAAAAACATAATTTATAAACCAATTTTTAGCCATATGAGGAATGGGTGATTAACTCTGATGGATGCTGCTCCGATGGAGAAATTAGAAACAAACCCGACTCGAAGTAGCAAAAGAAGTTATGCATAGTGGTTAAAAGATCGAAATGCCAACAATAGTAGATCAAAAATCCATATCTAGGCTCATGAGAACATGTTGAAAGAATATATACTACACAAGACGAATAAATAATCTCTATGCACGACAGTTATGTAAAATTTTGACGCTCAACTGATATAGATTACAATTCTAGATCAAAAATACATACTACAATCACATCAACAAAATCTATGATCGAACAAAGACAACATTGATTGAACATACGTGCATAATCGACAATGACATTTTCTGCAAGTGGTGCTATCAACGTGTTTGCTTTGACACTTTGTTTTTTCCTTCTCTTCTCTTATCCTTTGTAAACTAGTTTAGAGGTTCTAAGTGTTGAAAATCAGATTTTGATATTTTAATAAATTTTAAAATTGCTATATTTTACATCCAACTATTTTAGCAATTTTTATGGGGATATTGATTGGATATAAGAAATGAACAAGACCTCCTATATGAAGAGAAATATACACAATACCCTATTTTATTGCAAGAACTAATATAAAAAAGCACGATATATATTAGTTACAAATAAAATTTTAAATTGATTTTATACCCAATTATTAATAATTAATATAATATTTCATTTTTAAGTTTGTTTTAATAAACTTTAAAATTTTGAGATAAGTGAGGTTACCCAATTTAAAAGCTTTTTATTTTATCAAATAACCTTGTATTTTTAGTGGCAAATTATACTATGTAAAAAAAGAGTGAGAAATTTCTAAAGAGTTACAATGATAGTCTCAAAGCACAAGAAGTCACATAAAACAACTAAAAAGCAAAAAGACACACAAAAGAGCAACATACAACAAAAAAGTTCCAACCAACTCTACTGATCAAAGGGTCCCCATAGAAAGGTTGGGGCTACTAAAAATCCACCTCGATGATATTAATTAGTCTCATTTATTAAAGTGTGGTTATGCGTAATTATGTTTTGAATTATACTTATAGACGAGAGACATAAAACAAGCTAGATGCGGACATGCTTTTTTGAACACTGCTCAGTGTCACATAGGATCATTCCCCGTCCAAGAGTGAAGGATCCCCTTCCCTCTCCCTGAGGTTCTAGCTTGGTTCTAGGTGGACGTCTCAAGACACCATCACTCACGTCCCTTAGAATGGCTAGATCCAAAAGGGAGAGTAGGTGCGCCAGCTACGCATGATTGCATGTAGATCTTTGACAAGGGGTATTTGAATGTTGTATTTTTATGTGCAAAGTGTCTTTCCAATCATAATTATATTTCTTTTCATCATCATCCGTCCATTGTGCTTCGGGCTTAGGCACAATCTTATTATTTTCATTGGTCATGGTTATTTCCATTGGACCATTGATAATAACAATCCACACTTTTCTATCTATGGAATTTATGTGCACCCGCATACAGTCCTTCCAATAACTATAATTTTCTCCATTAAAAACGGGAGCTCTATTATAAGCCCCTTTAGGTTTGTTTTCCATTTTCTATCAAAGTTATATTTGAAGCACGGAGTGAAACGGTGCTCCTGATACCACTTGTTAGACGATGATTAGGATCTAGAAGGGGGGGGTTGAATAGATCCCAATTAAAAATTCAGTCGGCGTTACCAATTAAAAATTGGTTTTAAAAATATTTGATTTGCGGAAGCGGTCGTGGAAAAATTATCGTCTAAAACGAACCATTATTAGAAGACCGATATGCGTCTAGCCTTATGGAAATGATAATGAACCAAAAATAGATTCAACACACTAGTCACACTTATCAATTGATTTTACCACTAAAAAGTAGGACTAGTTCCAATGCTCCACAATCACCACAGAATATGCAAATAATCCAAGTGAATTTTGGTTTAGCCAATTTATCAAACACTTGGTGTGCGAGACACTCCAAGTTAACTTTGACTTGAGTAAGTAACTCTAAATTCCTTGTACAATATACTATTGTACTAGAGTTCAAAACAGTGGAAAAACACTTACTCAACTCAATGCAAATTTTGATAGAATTGCTTACACTAAAATTACTCAAATTCTAAAGCCAAAATGAAAGTGCAGAAAAATAAAGGAGACAAAGATTTGTTGAGGCAGTTCCCCCGCCGTCCTCAGTTCGGGGTACGTCTGCCCTCAATTCTAAATCTAGAATTGAGATCAATATAATAGATATCACCTGTAGAGTTGAAATGTTTATACTAGGATAGATAAGAAAAATATACAAACAAGCTCTCTTGATGTTGATGATGCTTTCTCTCCTTGTTCCTTGATTCGAGTCGAATCAAGTTCTTCGATTGTTGTGAGTAGACCTCCGATTCCAGCCCCTTTGTTGAACAACCTTCCGTTCTTCAAACCCTCGACCCGGATAATCTCAAACACACATAAATAGAGCCCGAAACTCTCTTGCAAACTTCACCTATTCCCGCTACTAGATTGACGAAACCTTCCGCTTCTCAATCACCTTTGCTCAGCTGAAGTTGGTAGAGACGATCCGTACCAAACCCCCCCCAAATTCAACAAATCTTAGAGGGCAAC